AGGCGGCTGATCGATGTCTCTCTCTCATCGATGTTTCTGACTCTCTATCTCTCTCCCTCCTCTCTGTAAAAAATCAATAAAATATATTTAAAAAATTTAGATTAAGGAAAAAGGGTATGTATTTAACGGATATCCGTAACCTCCCAAGTGACAGGTAAGCTGAGAACCTGCTTTGGAAAGCAGGTAGGGACCAAAGGAAGCCTGGCCACAGGAGGAAATGGCCAGAGTCACCCTCCCAGGAATATGCAGCCAAGGACTGCCATGGGCGCCGCTGGCCTGGGTTCAAATTCTCACCTTCCCTAAGAATAACTTCTCGCTGCCCTTGTGTCTTTGCGCAGGCAGGAGCACCTACCTAACTAGTGGAGCCCAGGTCATATCCGTGCACCCTGGCTCTCACAGGATGGGAAGAGGGAGAATCTGGCCCCTTCAGGGTTTGTGGAGGATGGCCGGGCCCTGTGGGGAATTCCCCAAATAGGAAAGGTCTTCAGCTGTTAAATAGGAAGAAAAAAAAGAAAAACCAACAAACCAACGGATCCACGGAAGAAAGGTTGAATCAAGAAGGAACTTTTCATAAAGAGTATGACACAGTCCTTTGCTTTTCTAGAAAAACTTTTAGGGCTGTGCAGAAACAGGCCTGGCGGCAGGGCAGCCTTCTGGAAAGCAGCTATAGCAGCGTGGGCGAGAGGTAAAGACAGTGTCCATTAACTAGTGGCAGTGAGGGGAGGGGACCTACGCCCCCAGGGAAGATCCTTAGGTTTTTGTGGGGGGTTTTTTCCCCCCCAAATGGTAGATTTTTCTTGCTGAGTAAAACCCAGGGACTTGTTTACCTTTGAGTTGGATTGATGTGCTACATAATTTGTGTGTTTGGCTGCTAGGTGACATTATCTTGTATTGCCTTCCTTTTACTCTCTTTTCATTAGAATTTTCATAATTACCTGCTCTTGACAACCCCAGAAAAATAAGGTATTATTGCACAGGGAATCATGATTTTCAGTAGATCCTTCTTTTTCCTCTAAGCCTGTGAAGTTGACTATGTTATGCCTCTTATTCTATTTTTTTAAATTTGTTTTATTTTTATGCCTCTTATTCTATAGTGATAATATTCTTTTATAATCAAGAAATTGTAGTACAGCCGAACCGGTTTGGCTCAGTGGATAGAGTGTCGGCCTGAGACTGAAGGGTCCCAGGTTTCGATTCCGGTCAAGGGCATGTACCTTGGGTTGCCGGCACATCCCCAAGTGGGAAACGTGCAGGAGGCAGCTGATTGATGTTTCTTTCTTATCGATGTTTCAACTCTCTATCCTCTCTCCCCTCCTCCCTGTAAAAAACCATAAATTTTTAAAAAATAAAAAAGATATTGTAGTACAGAAGCTGAGAAGCCCCAAATCCCTTGAATAAAAGAGCTAAAATGCTATTTAGACCGATCAGGCAGAA